GAAAAGATAGTCCTAAAACCACATAAAAGTTAAAACCTCCATATTTCAAGATTACCTTTTTATCATAGCATTAAGCATAAATTTATTGAAGGAAAGACACTATTTTTTGCAGCTAAACTGGCTCCACCACGTGGCAATAATATAAATAGCTTCTAGTTCACCATCACCAGATTTTATTTTTATTTTGAGTTAGGGTCTCCTTATGTAGTTTAGTCTGACTTTAAACTCACTACGGAGCTCAGGTTGCCTTCAAACTCACTGCAATCTTTCTGACTCAGTCTTCCAAGTGCTGGGATTACAGGCATGCCCAATTCCTATCACCAGTTTGAAAGTATGCAGTTCCTGACAATTGTGAGGGCCTTACATTGCTTATGATTTCATATAAAGATGTTATTAATAGTTTATAACAAGTTACTTCAAATTTGCATAATTCAAATACAGGTGGCCCTCTGTACCCATGGGTTCTAAATCCAAAGATCCCACATTGGATAATGTTTCAGAAATGAAACAAAACAAAAAACCTTAGACTTAATTCACAACTAATGCTGAATATACTAAACTAGTTAAAATCTGATTCTGAAGCTCTTTAGGTCAAAGGCGAAAGAGAAAAGGGTTGGTTTAAGAATGGGGCTTATGAGCGGCCAGGAAAGCAAAAATCCAAATTGTAGACTTACCTGTACTCACATGGATATATGCTTCATTCTGGAGAAATATTGCAGTGAAAGGGCCCAGGAAGTCTCAGGATCCAATATTAAGCCTTAGCAGATCATTTCTGGCTGGTTTTGCTCATTCCATGGATAATGGTAGAAGGGAGATTTAAGCTTCCTAAACTCTGCATAAGTCATTTTACAGCAGGAATTTAAAAACTGAACTATCCACTGCCAATGAATGGAAATTAGTGAAGCAAACTATAAAGAAAATCACAGGGGTCTGGGCATAGTGGCACATGCTTGTGAGCCCCGCACTCAGGAGTCGGAGGTGAGTTCAAGGCCAGCCTGGGTTACATGGCAAAGTCAGCACCAGCCTATACAGCAAGACTCTGTCTCAAAAACACAAAAACAAAAACAAAAAAGTCATGTAGACCTCCTTGACACAGGAAGTATGCTCTTATTTTTTTCCCAATTTTTGATGGATAAAGTAGTATTATGGGAAAATAACAGTATTTTTCAGAGAACCCACCTATGCAGACTTATACAACTTCTAAATTGTAAATATTGGCTCAAAAAATTTAAACCACACCCAGAGGAAACAGAATATCTAGGAACTGAATCTGGCCCACTAGGCTACCAACATGTGAACTCTAAAGTTTACTATAAGGTCTGGTAAAATATTAGGAGAGTTTCTGACCAAAGCAAATCTCAGATGTAAATGATTTTTATAGAACTGCAAAATGATATGTTAGATTCTAGTGCCTTTCTTTTGTATGTGCTGTTTTCTCTGCCAGACTTCCATCTAACATGAAAAAACCAAAACAAAATGAAACAAAAAACCTGACCTTTTCCATCAAAATAGAGGCACCTGGCCAACACATGTCAAGATTAGAGGACAGCAAAAGAAGAGACACACAGGATAGAAAATTCGCCTTGAGATTGGTCCTGTTTGCTTTAACTGGGTAGAACCCCTGGGGAGCAATAGGCAGACTGCTGTGTCCAGTGGCAGGTGGAGCAGCTTCCTAGATTTTATAAAGGTTTGCTTTTCTAATATTCTAGTAGAGTTGGGCCCACTAGACCCCACAATATCTCTTCTGCCTTGAATTGGAGGGACATAACAGGTTCTACGAATTCTGCTCTTGGGGGAATGTCTTCCTGGATGGGTCATTTGGGGTGAACCCATTCTGTACCTCCTTTCCGTGCCCACACAGGGGCTAAGTGTATGGGTGTGAATTGCTGGGTAGAAAACTAGTTCAAAGGTTGCCACCCTGAGAATGAGGGCAGAGCAGAAGATCCGACAAGGACAATGATAGGAATCTCCGGGTATGGGGTGGAGAAATATAGTCACTGACATGGAAAGGGCAATAGTTGAAAAACTGGTCCCCTTCACCTTGCCCACTGATTCCATCTCCTATTTTACCAAGCTCTTAATATTAGCCATTGTATCCTCTCTGATATACACTTCATCTCTCTTATATACTGGTTCTTCCCTTGTCTCCTCCAGCAGAAGTAAGTTTTCCTTTCACCCTAAAGACCTTCCCTAGTGCTGCCCTCTCCCCTTGCTACAGAGCGGCTTCAGCCCACCCCGCCCTCCCGCTGCAAATGCCCTTCCAAGTCAGCTTCTGACCCAGTTGCCAAATCCAACCTTACTTGATTTGTCTGAAGCTTGCAGCCTCATTCACCACCTTGTTGCCTTCCTGGGATTCCAGGACACAGATCCTCAGGCTTTCTTCAACTTTTCTGACTGTCCTTTCTGGGTTTTGTTTTGTTTTTTTCTGCTGGATTCTTTGTTTTGAAACCAATGCTGTCCCCACAATGGCACAGCATGTCCTTGTAGGGTACATCGCTGGGCCAGGGAACACAGCTCAGTAATACATAGCTAGGCAGCTCTTCCTGAAAGGAATAGAAAGGAGGTACAGAATTAAACTGGCTTTCCAGTGGGTTCCCCCAAATGACTCACCCAGGAAGACATTTCCCCAATGACAGAATTCTCGGGACCTATATTCCTCCAACTCAAGATGGGATACTCAGCTTGATGTACTTAATCCTAAATACCCTGTGTTATTGTGTGCTACAGCCTAGAGTACTCAGTCCTTGCCCTGTCCTGTTTCTTTCATGGTACCAACGCTAACCTATGTGCTTTATTTAATCTCTAGAGATCTTCTCATGTGCCTCTTGGACTTCTCTCCCTGGCGTCACTGTTACACCCCAAACTTGCCACAGCTCAAATTGAATTCAGATCTACAATTCACATATTCCCAAATATAATTATTTTTCTGCAATTCCTCTACCATCTTCTTGCTCAACTGAAAACTTCAAGGTTATCTATGCCTCTTCCCTTTCTACATTCTAAAGCTGTTGGATGGGAAATAGAGCTTACTGGTAGAGAAGTTACCATGTGTGACACCCTGGGTTCAATCTCCAGTATTGAAAGGGAAAAACAAAAGTTCAGCAACAGCAATAAAAAAAAACAAAAAAACCAACACAATCTGTGACTTACGTTATCTCTAAGGACACTACTGGAAGCTTTCTAACTGGTTTCCTTGTCTCTAGGATCTCTCTTTTCTAAGTCACTCCCTTGTCCCCAGATTTTTTTTTTCCACACATCTAAGTGTATTGCTTTTTTATTTAAAATCCTACTTTGGCTTCTAATTAAGAGTGAAATAAACTCCAGATGCTAGGTGTGGCATACAAAACCCTTTACATCCTGGATCAAACCTACTTTTCCTGTCTTACACCCTGCCTCTGGTCTCAACACATTCCTTGGTCTTAACCACATCAGATTGTGATACACAATGACTTGAACAGGATTCTGCCATGTGCTTTCATGTCTCTGGGCTTTATGTTTGTGCTTTCAACCGCTCTTCTGGCTTTTACCTTGTAAACTCTCACCACTTTTCAAGATCACACCATCACTTTTTTTTTTCACCTCTGTGAGCTGGTGATTTGAACCCAGGATCTCATATATGCTAAGTAAACTCTCCACCACACTGAGCCAAACTCCCTTCAGTCTGGATACTTTTTTTCTTTTTTCAAGTATCCTTAGTGTTAATAGCTATCCAGCGCTTCTATAGGGCTCCTGTTAGTTTAGTGTCTGAAAGTGGTTTTACATCTCTTTCCCACTTCATTATGAGTTTCTTAAGAGCAAGTTTAAGCTTTTTAGTCTTCATATCATCAACAGCCTGGTGTGTTACATATTGAATGAAAACATGGTTTTAATTAGGCAGGAAGTTTAAACATTGTTTTGTGAAAGAACTGATGGAGGTTTTTTTTAGCATAATTTTTAGCTCATTTTTTTATTTTAGATACTGGAACAATTTCCAAATAGGTTGATTGCTGTGATCCCTTAGAGACAGTTGCTATGTCATATTGCCAATCTTTAACAAAGTCTCTCTAGAGGCATAGGAACTGGTTTCTCAAGTGCCTGATTGGTGGCTGTGTATGGATTGTTTTCTCAGTGATTCCTTAGTACCAGTGATGATTCTTGTTTAAAACCTAGATTCTAAGTTCCACAGAAAACTCCCCTTGTTTCGAATAGCAAGATTTTATATATATGTACTTGTTCATCTAGGTTCATCTAACCCTAAACCTTGGTATATTACCATAATCTTGAAAACCTGGGGAGGCCAGTATTCTAGACAGCCTGGCAAAACAGTATTGGTGCAAAAGCCTGAGCTGCGTCACACTCTTTGGCACAAGCTGAATTAGAAGGAGCAACTCATGGACTCCATGAAGCCCAGGATGTGTAGCTCTCTTCAAATGAGCAGATTGTCTTTCTAGAAACGTGATGATAGCTTTTGAGTGGGTGGGAAAAAGAATGACTCCAATTTCCCCTCCCATACAAGAACTTGCTTCTGACTAGAATCCAAGCAACAAGTTGCCATTGAAAACACAGTGATTGGCCAGCTTCTAGGCAAAGGATGCCTAGAAGAAGAGCCACTAGGAGGATTTCTCTGGCTATGACAACCCAACCCAAGCCCTGGGTGTCATGTTCAGCCTTTCACGTGGTCCTCAATGCCTTAGAGCCTTTGGAGCTTCTTAAAAGACTCAATAAAGTCAATTCCTGATGCTAAGCTATTGGGGTTCTGGACAAGATAAGAAAAGCCATCAGCTTCCCGCTCATGCGAGACTGGTGCCAAGAGGGTGGCCCGGTGACTAGGACTAGCTAGGCATTACAGATGGCCGAAGGCGCTGGCGCCACCAGGACTGCAAGCCACCACGCGACACAGCGAACCTGGGCGGTACCAACCTAGAGACCCGCCCGTGCGGGGGCACTGACCACACAGCGCCCGTCAGCGAGGACGCCCCCGTCGGCCCTCCCCCGGGCGGGGCCAGCTCCGATGGCGCTGAGTCAGCAACGCGAGGGGGGAGTTTTGTCCCTCCGCGGACCCCGTTTCTCTAGGCCTTAACCTCCTCGCAACCAACGAGCTGGTTTCCTTTTTCCGGCGCTCCGGGTGCGAGAGCCGGGTTGGGCCACCTAGACAGCGGGCAGTATTTGCAACCCCGACGCTCCCCTGAAGACCTCAAAAACTAACATCGTACCGGGCAGTGTGTGCGCCATGAGCAACGCGGGTGAGGCGCGCTCTCCCTGCCGAGTGCCTACCGGGGTCCGCTCGGTGGAGTTCGGGGCACCCGTGAGGCCCGGCGGCGCAGAAGGCCGGGGGCTGGGACGGGGTCGAGGGCGGGTATGGAGTGGCCTGGAGGGAGGCAACAGCAAGCATCTGGGAGGAGGACGTCGGTCAGAGGCTTCCCCGCGTCAGTGGTCACCCGGGATGCGCTTAGCAGTTAGACCCAGGATGCAGGAGCTCTGGAGCAGCCTCTTCACCTTCCTTTTGGTGGTAGAATTTCTTCTGGTCTCCCAACAGGACTTGATTCTGAGCAGGTATCTGCCGTGATCCAGAAACTGAAATCCGACCCTCAGTTTGTACTTGCCCAGAATGTCGGGACCACCCACGACCTGCTGGACATCTGCCTGAAAAGGGCCACGGTGCAGTGCGCGCAGCATGTGTTCCAGCACGTTGTGCCTCTGGAAGGCAAGCCAGTCACCAACCAGAAGAGCTCTGGTGAGTCTTGAAAGTTCTCGCATGCTTGACTTTTTTGACAGCGTTCCATTTTGGTGTCTTAAGAATGGCCTTGGGGAAACAGAGGTTTATGCTGAGTGAATTTGTGGTAAATCCGTAAAGTTAGGGGCAGATAAACGCTGTCCTAAGAACATTACCTTTGTGGCTTGTTTTGGTGCTCTGTAGCTTGTTGACACATTTAGTGTGAACACTAAATTGTCCAGCCCGTCATTATCTGCTTAAACTGCAGATAATTCTGTTCTGTGTTGACATTATGTGATTGCAGCTCCACGTTTTGAATACTTGTCAGTGGTCTTGGTCACAAAAAAACATACTGCAAAAAATGTTTATTGGGGCTAGGGATTTAGCTCAGCGGCATAAGCGCCTGCCTTGCAAGCAGGCAGTCTTGAGTTCGATCCCTGGTACCGATAAAAACGAAAAAGACCAAAAAAAAAAACTTAAAAAATGTTTATTCTCTAGATGATTCCCCAATATTGCCCTGAAGGCATATACATATGTGTGACATAGAAAAGATAGAATATAATTACATCAAAATGTCATCAAATGTTATTTTTAAATATGCTCCTTGGCTAAAGTTAGTGTGCTCCATTACCACCGGTAGACCAATTTGTAATAACTAAAATTAAGCTCTCTTACCTTGCTGATTGGGAGTTCTTGTTTTGCTGTCTTTTTTTTTTTTTTTTTTAGTATATTTAGTTTTGTTTTTTTTTTTTTTTTTTGATAGTGCACTATCATAAAAACATCTACAGTGAAAGACTGGTTATCTGGGAAACTAAGGGAAACATTCTAACAACAAAATTTTACTGAAAGGTTTTTTTTGTTAAGTCTTTCTTATCAGATCTTGTGGCTCTCAATTGTAATCTCAGCACTTGGGGTGCTGAAAGTTTGAGGCTGACTTAGAGTTCAAGGCCAATCCGGACTACATAGGGAGAATTTTTTTTAAAGTCTTTCTTTAGGTCGAAACTCTTCTTCATGTATCTTTATTGACAAAAAGCACATTATTGCTTAACTGGAGCCAGCCAGACTCATAAAGTATACATTTAACATGTAAACTATGCCTCAGTACAATTTATTTTTAAATTTTAGGGGAAAAAACTATGACCTTGCAATAATTTATGTTTTGGGATAATAGAAAGCACTTAGGGTAGTATAGGCCATCGGGTTACAAATTATCCAGTTACCTTAGTAATGTCACAGTGCTTTTTCATAGTTTAGATTACAGTGACCACCTAGGGAAAGCCTGGAAATGTTAATCTGGAACAGATGAGATCTTATACATTCTGTCACTTTTATTTACAAAAATTACAAATAATACATGAGCTATGTAGTCTGTTTTAATGCAGTTTTCACATCCACAGTTCATCCACATTCCTTCTAGAAATATATGGTGTTTAGGAGAGAAGTGACATACAAATAAGCCTAAGGTCATGATGAGCTGTAGTGAGGTATTAGTGACTTTGAGAAGCACTGCTGAAGTTTTTTTTTGTTACAAAATTATTTTTGTTTGACATAGAAAATTTACAAAATATCCACAGGAGATTTTTTTTCCTGTATGTCTGGCTGCTCTGTGCATGAGTGTGTGTGTGTGTGTGTGTGTGTGTGTGTGTGTGTGTGCGCGCCCCCGCACGTGCGTGTATTTAAGATCAGTTGATACTTTATACATTTTTTAATGACCTACCTGTCTTATGCACTGACTTATATATTGTGAAAATACTTTCATATGAATAAAATTGTACCCTCATATAAATAAAAAATGTTCTATCTAAATTGTGCTTCAGAAAAGAGTTAGCCTATCTTCACAAAGTCCTCACAAAGACTTTTAAGAATGGGCATAACTGTGTTAATTTATCTTAAAGTACAGTTCAGCAGACAAAGTAATGTCAATCCATGCTAGTTTTGGGCGCTTATAGAGAACATTTGATTGAATCAGTTTGTTTGGGGTTTTGTTTGTTTGTTTGTTTGTTTTTGTCTTTTTCTTTTTTATCGGTACCGGGGATCAAACTCATGACTGCCTGCTTGCAAGGCAGGTGCTTATGCCACTGAGCTAAATCCCCAGCCCCGAATCAGTTTTTTAAAGAGGCAAAAAAAAAAAAAAAAAAAAAAAAGGAATACAATATATCTCTAGCATATAACCTTACACAGAAATATTGGATATCATTGTAAGGTTTTAAAAGATGTCTTAAATCAGTACAGGAAATGATGACATGGTTAGAGTTTCTAATTATACATTTACAGGAATAAATGAAGAACGTGGTTGTATAGCTGACACTCTGTGTAAAAGTTTCAAGGACAGCATCATGCATAAATTCAAACATTGCTATGGCCGAAACTTCTTGTTCCATTTAGTGGGAGAAAGATGATGTGTTTTGATTGAAAAAGTGGATATAATGGCAAAGGCACTGATGCTAAAATGTAAAAAGTATGAACCGATCTAAAAATAAAGTGGGAAAATAAGAAAACAGCTTCTAAATAAATGTATTTTTATGATTTTAATAGGTAAACAGTTTACTGTTTCATCCATGTATTTTTTTAAATACAATAGATACATATATTTTTGAGGGGGTGTGGAATCTCTGTTGCCTAAGCCGACCTCCATCTCCTGGACTCAAGTGGTCTTCCCGCCTCAGCCTCCCAAATATCATCTATATCTTTAAATGCTAGTATAATCCAGTTAGCCAAATACTTTTTTTTTCATTCATTATTGGGAGGATAGGGAATTGACTCTGTTAGGTTCATTTTTTATTGAAGAATATAATGTATAATTCCATATTACTAAAGGGTAGGGACTTTTTAAAGTTTTTCCTAGATGTTGCCAACTTAATTCCTCATTCAGAATAACAGTGCTTTTTCTCCAAGTCTTTACCAATGTTGGATATTATCAGTCTTTTTAAAAAAGGTGTTTCCTTACTTAACATGTATCTTTTTTTTTATTCCAAAGAACTTTAAAAATTTTTCCTTTGCCATTTAAGTCTTTTCTAGCCTCTGAAGGATTTATGACCTCTGTTCATGTTTTTCTAGTGGTGTTTCTTTTTCTAGTATGTCTTACTTAGGTGGTTTGTAATGGATTCTTCATGTGATTTGTCACCTGTTTTTAGCCAGGTAGCATGCCCACCAAAGTCCCAGCTGCTAGATGAGGCTGAGATGGGAGGATCACTTAAGCTCAGTAGTTGCAAGACCAGTCTAAGCAACATAGTGAGACTCCAATCTCAAAAAAAAAGATCTTAAACCTATATGAAAGACATTAAATGTGCACATATATTACAAATCGTAATTACTAGGTGTTGTATGTTTTATTGTAATGTTTCTGATCTTCCTGATATAGTTTAAATTATCTAGATCTTCTCATAAGGTAAGCATTGGGACATACATCTAGAGCAATAGCATCTATGTGAACACTCATCACAATTTCTTGTTTTGCTTTCTTGTTTCAGGGCGATGCTGGATCTTTTCTTGTCTGAATGTTATGAGACTTCCATTCATGAAAAAATTAAATATTGAAGAATTTGAGTTTAGTCAGTCTTACCTCTTTTTCTGGGACAAGGTATGGGACTGACCTTGCATAATATTTTTGTTTTGATACCAACCTTGATGGGAATCAGTTCTTTTTTCCTTGCTTTTCTAGTTACAGTTATCATTTCATTATAAGTGTGCCACTGTCTAATTTCCAAACTTTGAAAAACAAAGTTGCTTTTGGTTGGTGGGTGACTGCTTTTTACTATAAAATAATGAGTCTATTATTGACTCACCTTGCTGGTTACTACTTTCATTATTTTAAATTCTTAATTCTGTTCTCAATAATGTCCCTTTTTACTATCTTCATTTAGATTACTTCATTTGTCTACAACCTAATTCCCCTTCTCAGGTTTGTGTTCATCTGAAAAACAGTAAATAAGTTTATTTGGTTTTAAAATCTTTAAAATGTCTATCACGTGTCCATTAGATGTTTGTTGATTAAAGACTTGTTTTCAGTATTAAAATGTTTATTTTTGTAGTGCTGAGAATGGAATACAGGGCCTCAAGTGTACTGGGCAAAAACTACCACTGAGCTATACACTTCCAGTTCAAACTTCAAATACTCTTTATGGCACTAGACACAGATAATTCATTGCCAGCTTTAGTTTAAGAATACTTATTAGGTTGAGACCATATAGTTCCAAAGCTTCTATTCTGTTGTTGAGGCCAATAAAGTAATTGGGTGACCTATTAATTTTGTTTAACCTTCTTACTCTAGGTTGAACGCTGTTATTTCTTCTTGAATGCTTTTGTGGACACAGCCCAGAAAAAAGAGCCCGAGGATGGGAGGCTGGTGCAATATTTGCTTATGAACCCTACAAATGATGGTGGGCAGTGGGATATGCTTGTCAACATTGTTGGTAAGAGCCTTTTCTTATGGAGCCAGCATAATTGACAAAGGCTGTCTAGTGAGAAATAGAATAGTTTTGTCCATTTGCTGTAAGTTAGAGTTCCAAAGAAGGCAATCTGTGAACCTTTATTTCATATTCACATCTATAAAATGCCTTTTTAAAATAAATATTAAGCACTACAAAAATAAAATAAATATCAAGACATGCATAATATGGATGATAGGTTGGAGAAGAAAAGGTAGAAATAAGTAGAATTACCCATAAGAAAAGCTTATCGCTTTTTCATTAGTGTAATCAAGAAATGCATTAAAACTGAAACCTTTTGAAGACATCCTCATTCAAAACATTATCTTTTGGGGTAACCTTATCATCCTGTGGACTCCTATTTAATAATGTGGAGCCTAAGATTTTTCTGAATGAATCCAGTAAAACATGACTTACTACTTTTTTTTTTGTACTGGGGATCAATGACCTACTTTTTAGTGAACACTAAAATTTGTTTTCTTATAGAAAAATATGGTGTTGTCCCTAAGAAATGCTTCCCTGAATCTCATACAACAGAGGCAAGCAGAAGGATGAACGATATTCTGAATCATAAGGTACAGCATGTAGAACAGGATGGGACTGAATTTGGTGTATATACCTTGAAGCTTCTAAGTAGTTTTTTTAATGAATTCTTGAGTATATAGGTTATATACAAGATGACTGCTAAAGTCAGTGTCTATCAAAAAACAGTAAAACTACTTAATACCTTTATAAACAATTGAGATTAAGGTTGAGTCTGTCTTAATCTTAATCTTAATATGGGCCACAAGCACACATGGACTGGGGCAGCTTTCTGTACTAGTAAATAAATAAATAAGTAAATAAGACTTCCTTATAGAGTATCATATGTTCTTATACTTCCCCAGACCACGTGAATGAAGTTTATCTACACACTGCAGAGTTGATACAGTCACTGAACTGTTTTTTACTGTTTCAGTTATCTTTATGAATCATCTTTCTTTTCCACATAACTCATTTTCCCAAGCAGAGTTGGAAAGCTTATATGGATGCTGCTTTGCCAGCCAAATTTCTTTTTTGAGAACTAGGATTTACCTGAATCTATTGTTTTTATCTATGAGGTTAAAACTGGAGCTGTTATTTCTGGCAGAAGGACTGCATTTTGAAATAAATTTAGATGTGTTTTCCTAATGTTAGAAGTAGGTTGTTTTCTACTCAGGGATCTCTGAGGAATCTTATCTAAAGGGTAAAAAATTATTAGCATAGCTTTGGATTCTTTCTTGATTTGGAGCCAGATCCTCTTTAGCATGATAGTTAAATTTCAGACTTGCCTTTTTGAAAGCGACAAAAGTGAAAATTATACTAGAGGTATGGTCATAGTTATTTGACAGAGAAAGGTGAAGTAGGCAACTGATAAAATTCTAAGGAGTATTTTTATGTAGTATTGTTTGGGAATAATCCACATCTCTCCTTAGGCAAAATATTTTTGCTGTATATTTAAGTGAACTAATTGAGGGAAAACATAACTTTTAAAGTTTGCTATAGGTTATGGGTGAGTTATACTTCAAAACAGAACCATCATTGATTTTTTAGGCTTATTTACAGTTGAAATATCTACTGGACTGCTAAATTAAGTTTCTATCATAGATGAGAGAATTCTGTATACGACTACGGAACCTGGTACACAGTGGAGCAACCAAAGGAGAAATCTCTGCTACACAGGATGTCATGATGGAGGAGGTAGTAACAATTCTTTGGATTTTTATAAGTCATCTTAAGAACTATTCCTATCTGTTAAATTTAAGATTAGGGAGCACAGCCATTGCAATGGACTATTTAATTGAATAAAACCTTTCACAGCTGAAAAAAATTGAGGTTTAAAATTGCTTTGCATTTTACTATAGGTTTTTTTTTAATGCATTGTGTAACTATTGAATACCTTCACTGGGTTTTGCACTGAAGAAACAAGGATAAGAAAGCCACTCTGTGCTCTTAAGGATCTCATTCTTGGAGAACAAAAAACACATGAATGTTTATAGTAAGTCCTACACAAGATAAGTAAAAATGATTGGTGGTCATAAAGGAGTAACTAATTTGGAGAGCTAAAGGTTACGCAGGAAAGACATTTAAATTAGTAGTGAAAAGATTTACCAGGTAGATAACAGGAAAGATGATTCCACGCGAAGGGAATTGTCTGAACAGTGACATGAAATGCCAGAACTTTTATACAAAGAAAGATGGGGAGCTGCTGATGGTTATATCAGTTACAGTATGAAAACATTTTGGGAAACTTGAGAAACACCGAATATAAGGTAATAGTACTTTTTTTCATTTTTTTTTATTGTACATTTTAGATGTCCATAATGATAACATTTATCATAGGGAATTTGTACCTGTACATGGTGTATCTTGCTGCTGCTTTTCTTCCATTCCCTTCCCTTCCCCTCTGCCTCTCTTCCTCTTCTTATTTACAAACACTTTGTTTCGTTTTTTCCCATTTTTTTCTTGTCCTTCTTTATCCCTTCCCACTTCCCTTTTTCTCCTTCTCATTAAAACATTTTCTTCCCATTTTCATTATATATTTTGGTGCTTATTTACCCTTTCTTACACCAAAGAAATACTGCAGTATTTACGAATGTGCCCAATTTATTTCACGTAAGAATATGGTGTCAGAGTACATCCATTTGGCTAGAAATGTCTTAAACTTAATCTTCTTTATGGCAGAGTAGCATTCTATTGTATAAAAAACAAAACACATAATTTATCCATTCTTTGGTTGATGAGAATTTGGGCTATTTCGAGGACTTTTAGCTATACCACTATAACCATGGATGTGTATATATTGCTGTGCTATGATGTTTTCAGTTCTTTTAAGAAGATTCCAAAAAAGGGAATAACTGGTCAAATGGAAACTCTAGTTTTGGTTTTGTGAGGAAGCTCCAAACTGATCTCCACAGTGGTTGCACAAGTCTACACTCCCACCAACAGTGGGAAAGTGTTCCTCTTTTCCCACAGCCCCTCCAGCGTTTGTTATAGGTTGATTTCTTGATACAACCATTCTTTCTGGAGTGAGATGGATTCTCAGAATTGTTTTAATTTGTACCTCTCAAATGACTAATGTTGAACATTTTTTTGTATACTTGTCTGCTGTTTCTACTTCATCTGAGAAGGGCGACCTCATTTCAGATACCCATTTTTGGTTTAGATCTCTAAATTTGGAGGGTCTGATTTTTTTGAGTTCTTTGTATATTCTAAATAATAATTTTTGGGGCTGGGGGTTTAGCTCAGCGGCATAAGCACCTGCCTTGCAAGCAGGCGGTCGTGAGTTTGATCCCCGGTACCGATAAAAATGAAAAAGACAAAAAAAAAAAAACCTAAATAATAATTTTTGAGGGATGGCTGGCAGAAATTTTTTCTCACACTGTGGGTTATCACTTCACTCTGTTGGTGGTTTATTTTGCTGTGCAAAAGCTTTTTAGTAAGATAAGACCCCAGTTGTTGATTCTTCGTGATAGTTCCTGTGTGGTTGAGATTTTGTTTATAAAACCTATGCTTCTACCCAAATGTCTTCAAGAGTTTTACCTACTATGTCTTCCAGAAGATTTAGTGCTTCTGTTTTAATATTAGGTCTTTAATCCATTTCAGTTTTAGTTTAGTGCCTGATGAAAAATATGGGTCTAGTTTTAGTCTTTGGCATATAGAAAACCAGTTTTTCCAGAACTATTTATTGAAGAGGCTATTTTTCTTTCAGTGAATGTATTTGGCTCCTTTGTGAAAGATAAGGTGACTGAGTGTGTCTGGAGTTGTTTCTGCATCTTCTAATCTGTTCCATTGATCCTCACATCTGTTTTTTTGTACCAGTACCATGCTAGTACAAAAAAACATAGTAGCTTTGTAATATAGTTTTAAATCAAGGATTATAATGCCCCTTGCTTTCATTGTTTTTGATATTCTAAGTCTCTTCTGACTCCAAATTAATTTTAGGATTTTTTCTAGTTCTGTGAGTAGTATACTGTTGGAATTTTGATCAGGATTGTATAATAATTTTGAAGTATAGCCATTTCCACTCTGTTGGTTCTTCCTACCCATGAATAAGATATCTTTCCATTTTCCGATATCCTCTTTGAGCTCCTTTTTCAGAGTACTGTGGTTCAGTATAAAGATCTTTTGCTTCCTTTGTTAGATTGATTCCTAGATATTTCATTTTTGGGGGCATGCTATTATGAAAAGTGTTGTTTCCCTAATTTCTCAGTGAAGTTGTTACTTACATACAAGAATTTTACTGATTTTTGGGTGCCGACTTTGTATCCAGCTTTGCTACTAAATTTGGTTATTAAATCTAGGAGTCTTTTTATGGAGTTTTTAGGTCTTCTTTGTAGAGTATCATGTCATCTGCAAATAATGATAATTTAACTTCTTCCTTTCTTGTGTTTATTCTTTTTATTTCTTTCTCTTACCTAATTGCTCTGGCTAATGTCTCCAGAACTATATTGAATAAAAGTGGACAATTTTGTCTTGTTCCTGATTTTAGAGTGAAAACTCAGTTTTGTCCATTTAGTAGGATGTTGGTTAGTCATAGATGGCTTATCAGATTGAGATAAAGACCACTTATTCCAATTTTCTGTAGGGTTTTTGTCATGAACGGCTGTTGGGCTTTGTCAGATGCTTTTTCTGCATCTGTTGAAATGATCGGGATTATAGTTTTTGTCCTTGCTTCTGTTAATGTGGTGATTTTGTTCATTGATTTGCATACACCTGAAGCATCACTGCATCTGGGGTGAAGCCTGTTTGGTCATGATGAATAATCCTCTTGATGTTTTGCTGTATTCTACTGTTAGCACTCCAGAGAATGCCATTGGGTGGCTTTTGAATTGTTCCACATCATTGCCCCCTAGGTTTGGCTTTGGTGATCTGGAAGTCTGGCATTGCATTTTGCATGTCTTCTCTTTCTCCTCTGCTCTGCTCTGCTCTCCTTGTCCTCTGCTTTCCTTCTCCTCTGCCTCTCCTATCGCTCTCCTCTCCCTCTCCTCCCCACTCTCTCTTTTAGTTTAATTCTTGGTATGATGCTTATAAAGTGCTTATGGCCAGTAGCTTTATTGCTAGTATTTAGAACCCTTAGGAAATGACTATGTCTCAGAGATGTCTTCCAGATGTATCTGGCTTTTGGGTTTTGAGTCTGTTGCAAGAGTCTACCTCTTCAGTTTATTGGGAATAAGAAGTTGATGCCTATGAGGCCTAGTCCCTGGCCTATAGTGTTGTTTCTTTAGCACTGGCCTATAGTGTTGTTTTTATGACTTAAGCAATTTAAGCCTTGGCATACCAGGAACAACCAATAAGAAGAATTATGTCACTTTGGCTAAAGTGGTATAATCAGCAATAATGGTAGCATCACACATAGCCTAGAGAATAAGAAACTGTGATAACTATTCATTTGCTACCTTTAACCATATAGATTATATTTGCAGTTATGTAACAAAATCTAAAATGAACCAGAAAATTGCATAGAGTAAATATGCCCTTAGTATGGTGATTTGACTCTCAGGAGAGAAAATTTAAAGAGGGTTAGTGAAAAAAAAAATAGAGAATAGCTTGTAAGCAAGGCTGGACGACAGAGGAAGAATATGCCAACTGTGAAAACCGAAGGAAACAAGTGGAAAAGAGAGAAGGAAGAAATAACCCCAACAACAATAAAGAAACTAGAAACAGTGTTCACACTCATAAAAATAACAATCAAGAAAAAAGAAAACAAAGCAAAAGGAAAGAAAAAATGCCCACGTGAGAGTGTGTCTCTGCCATTACTGGTAGACAGAGTGGGTAGACAGAACTCAGATCTGTGTTGGTTAATCCCAGCAAGCCAGTCCTAGATTTACAGCATAGTAGTGGATAATTGCAGCAAGCCAGAAGCTTTAGTTTCGCTGAAGTTCAGGTTGGTTTCTTGCAGTGAGACTGGAACCTGATTCGTTCAGTCTGCTGAACTCAGTGTACTCCTGTCAGCTTGAACCCGGTTACTTGACCTTCTGCCTGCTTGAGCTTGGTTCTGCCTCTCCCTGCTACTGGGAGCCACTATGGTAGAGCCAGCTTGCAGCTACTCTTGAGTTCTGAGCTCAGTTAACCTCTCTGCAAGATGACTACCAGCTAGTTTCTCTCTCCTGGGGGACAGCTGAACCTGAACAGTTCACCTGCCTCTGCATTCTACTGCAGCCACTGCTCCATTCCACTGGTGTGTTTCTCGGTGGAGGCCCTTGGGTTGCCTGCAGTCACTTGCACCTGCAGGTCTGGGTTGAACCTCCCTCACAATGAGATGGTGCAGGGAGAAAGTGCTGCTTGTCATCTGCTTCTGCACTGAGATCTCATTTTGCTCTCCCCACGGACTTCAGTTTCTACTTCAGATCCTTGCTGAGCCCTGGGTACCCACTGCCTTCCTTGTCTTCTTCCTCATGTTGCAGTACGCAGTGTCTAGACACCAAATCTTGGAGAAGCTGTTTCTCTGCTGTCCACCACTCTGCCATCTTGCTAGAAGTCAACAGTGTTAGTATTTATTATCAAAGCGTTTAAGGGTCTTTATTACTTTCTGCTATCCATATCCAGAATGACTATAAGTAAAATTTGAGATTACTTTGGGGGAAAGTTTTTTCTTTTTCAGTGGGATCATTGGGATCATTGGTAGGCTTCCTTTCGTGACTATGAAGTTACAGTGGGCACAATTTTTTTCACTGCAGCAGAAAACACTCATGTTTCAC